AGACAAATGAAAAATAAATATTGAACAAATTTGAAGAAAGAAAAATGTCATAAAGGTTTGTGCAGTGTATGTACGGTAGGCTGCCTGACTGATGCCGTACACTTTTACAATGATCTAACCACACATACTTCTTTAAAAGTATCGATGAAGAACAGCAATTTTTCACTGTTGGTATGAGAACATTGGTGAAGGTCTTGATTGTGAATGTCAAGGTCTTTGTGCTGGTACACTGAGGTGTCGTGCCAGTGCTAGCCACGAGTAGTGGGTAGTGTTGAACATTCCTGGTTAGTCGCTACCTTTTGATGAGTTGTAAACTACCTGGTGTACGTATGGTGGACATGGAGGAGGATGTTGCTTTAAGGTTAAATATGTTGTTTGTTGTGACTTTCAAAGATTGGAGCCATTTTCCTCCTCTTAGTGTTTATTTGTGTTTCTTTCTCCTGTCAGTTAAACCACATTTAAGCACAGTATTTAACATCACTTTAGTGTTTTACTGTACCAGGATATTGTGGAATGCCATATTTGTGTGTGTGTGTGTGTATATATATATATATATATATATATATATATATATATATATATATATATATATATATATATATATATATATATATATATATATATATATATATATATGTATATATGTATATATGTATATATGTATATATGTATATATGTATATATGTATATACATACATACATACATACATACATACATACATACATACATACATACATACATACATACATATATACATATATACATATACATACACATATATATATATAATATATATATATATATACATACACAGTACAGTATATATAAAAATATCTTCTCTATGGGGAAGAGGTGTGAAGGGTCTGAAACACATACCTGGGGGTTTACATTTGGCACTCAGCTGGGATGTGGGTAATCATAGCTGGGTAAACACAAGCACTGTAATGAGGAAGTAAGTGATTTGTTTTCTGTTAGTTTTCTTGCGCTATACAAATAATTTTGTGCTTTGAAAGGCTTGTCATGAAGACCATTCCAAGTTAGGAGCAGTGATTAATGTGTAAAATAATTTTCTTGATTTTCTTTTAAATTGTTAACACTCTTAATTCTTAAATCCTGTTCTGTACAATATTTACAACATGCATAGTTACTCCAGTTTATGCTCTTCGTTTCTCAAATGAAAACTGCTGAATTAGTTTGTATTAATTTATCATTGTAAAAAAAATCTTTTGTTTCTACACAACAGTACATAAAGCAGCAAGAACACTTTAGTAAATTTATGGTGAAAATTTAGTGGGTAATTAATTAACAAAAACTGCACAGGCACAGTGCCAAACCCACTGTCAGTTTTGTCTTGATGCAGGGCTCTTGGCACCACAGGCTGGCTGGGAGCCAGACCACATTACCAGGGACAAGTGGAACTCTGTCCCAAGGAAACCTCAAGAAAACAAAAAAGTCTTGAAAGTTGCCACGCCTCCCAGCAAAGTCTTAGGCCGCCAGGCAACTCGGACAACAGGAACTATACTTGCAGCTTGTGGTTGACCTTGTCAACCACAAGCACATACAAGGAGAGCAAAGTCAGCATGCCACTAAGACTGATAGTTTGGTAGTCAGCAAAAATGGCATTGCGGAAAACTCATGTTGCCTGAGCCAACTCAAGGCAAGAACAGAAATATGCACAGAGTTCATCAGTTCCAATATTTTTAGGGCAAGTTCAGAGGACATTCATCAGTTATATTTACATTTTGCTTTTGAGAGGCTTATAACATAAATTTCCACTTTGGACACTACAAATTAAAAATTGTATTCATTAATGTCTGTGTAGTACATTTATAGCTGGGTTGATTTACATAAGTTTTCGTTGAATTATTTACCAAAGAGAAAGTCATAATAGTAACAGCATAACATGAATATCTGATGATGAAAATACAGTACAATTTAAAGGATTAATATAATCTAATTCAATGAATTTATACAAAAGATTTCTCACCCTCAGCACTCTGTTAACAGATTTAAGTGGTTAAATCACATTCCCGTCACACTCTTCCTTCATTCTCTTTGCATCAGTGACCCTCAGTTTCTTGATTCTGAATTTTTTTTATGTAAAAATCTTTCTCTCACCTTTCATACCCCTTCCTTTTTATCAACTGTGTCTATTCTCACGCTAAACCTAATTTCTTTCATCCCAAACCTGTTTCTAACACTAGTACCACTGTGCTCTGCCTTCCCTTCAAATCTGAACTTAAAAATTTCACTAATACCCTTCATCATCATGATGTAAAGCTCACCTTTCGACAAACTAACACTCTTTGTAGTACAGTACTCTGGTTCATACTGCTCTTCCTGCTTTTACTGCTGCTGGTGTCTACTTATTTCTTGTTTCCTTTCCAATACTTTGGTGAAACTGGCCGTACACTAAATGACAGACTTAAGGAACACTAAAGAAGTGTTAAGTCTTCAGACATAAACAATGCTCTCTTCTGTCATGTTGGCGACTCTAATCATCCTATAGATTGATCTTCTAAATTAATCTTTCCTGCCTCTACTCTTCAGACACCATCTTTTTGAATCGGCTCTGATAGATACACAACATGCCCAATGTGAACCTTAGTCCTGTCTTTGTTCCTGTTGATTCTCCCTTTCACAGTACATACTTAAATCCTCCATCCAACCTACTTAACAAACATGACCTGACTTGAGCCTTCCCCCTTTTTCTTACCTTCTGCTTATCCTTACCTCATCCCAATCTTCCTTCATCCTTTTCTGACACTCGTCCCATTCGTACCCTTCATCCTATTCTTCCTTTCACCTTTCTCTTACGTTCATCTAGAAAATACATTTTTCTTACCTGCTCCTCACCTCACTCTTTCCTTATATATTTGCCCATTCCTTCCTCTCCTCTACCACGAGACTTGATAATTGTCCAGGACGGACCAAAATGTCATTGTTTCTCCATCTTCTGATGTGTTGTGGCTATCAAATCACAGTAATGTGATTTATCAATGAGAAAATTAGTAGTAGCTGTGAGGATGATTCGAACCTATGTGCTGGGTACCCCTAAGCTGGATATGGGATATTTATCCCATATCCAGCATTACGAAGTGAGCTGGATATGGGGAATAACGTGAATATTGAGGTTAATGTCAACATAATTTCATGATGCCCTCTCTAGACTTCAAGTACAGACTGTAAATACATTCCCTCTTCTTGGCAAGTCACATGTCGGCTACAACATTCGAATGCTTGTTATGTGGCTTGGCGACATGCTTACTGGTATGCCAGGTTTGTGAGATTAGATTTTTTTGTACCTTGCCAGCCAAGCAAGTGTGGGAAGGGACAACTGATCTTCATCCTTGTTTCTTTTCTTTTAATTAAGACAATTTCTTCCTAATTTTTTCCCTCCTATTAAGTCCCTCTCACCCTCCCATGGAATTCTTAGCTCCCTCCTGCCTCCATCCCTCTATGATGTCCCTATGTTTCTCTCCATCTTTTAGAAGGTAAATGTGTTATACAACCCATCTTCTAAAAATGACGGTGCAGTGGTACTTTCGTTTTTAAATTTAATCCGTTCCCAGAGACGGTTCAAACACCGAAAATTCAAAAACAGAAACTTTGAAAACCGAAACAAATTTTTACATAAGAAACAATGTACAGTATATTGAATTAATCTGTTCCAGACCCCCCAAAAATATTAACTTAAAAATACATTTTATACATGCTACAACTGTGCTTATATTTTGTACTACAGTACTGTATGTACAAGTATGTCTTACCTTTATTGAGGGCTCTTGTTGGCATATGGAAGATGGTGAGGAATGGGGGGAGGAGGAGAGGTGTTAAGTGTTTGAAGAGGAGTTCCCTTCCATTATAACAGCAGTGATGACATTTCTGGGGTACTCTCTCTCTTATGTTTTCCAGGCATACCATTAGGATCTGATTGTGGCTCTCTGCTTGCTTGTCTTACTAACAACCTGTCTAGAGACACTTGTTTTTTCCCTATGTTTTAACACTTGTCTGTGGTGAGACATCACATTCTCATTATGAATGCTATCTTGTTTTTTCTCTATCGTTATCCTCGCAACTATTTTCTTAGGTTGAACTTTACCACTGACTTTCTTGGAATCCATGGAGTGATATAGGATAAGAACTTTTATGTTCAGAAACAAAGCACAAACAATGAAATTCGTCACAAAGAATTCAAGCGGGGTTGTCACTAGGTGGGAGACACAGGTAAACTGAAGCGTGCCACACGCTCGGTCGGCCCATACGTGTATCAACAAACTCGAGCACCGAGGCAAACCTCGAATACCAAATCAAATTTTTTTAAGAAATTACGCTCCAGAAGCGAAAAATTTGAAAAAAGGGGCATTCGAAAACTGAGGTTGCACTGTATTGTACTTGTAGAAACTATTGGTCAAACTTACAAAAATGGACCGTTGAACCTAAAATGTTCATATTTTGTACTATTGGAATACTCCAAATGGCATGATAAAAGTCCAAACATTAACTATACAACTTAACCTAGTCTGTCCTAGACCTATATAAGCCATCCTAGACTAATTATACACTATCTTAGGCCTAATTTAGCACTGTTCATGTATGTGTTATGGGAAAGTTTGGATTTGGTTGTTGCCTTCTTTCTCATGCCCTCTACAGAATTATTATTACAATATACCTGTACTGTATTTATATTTTTCTGGGTGCAACAGTCCATATTTGCATGTCAGAACAATATTGACTATTTAAAATGCCATAATTTTTGAATGACAGGATGTGTGGTGATGCAACTCCCATAGGCATTGGCTCATATTATGTGTGTATGTAATTTTATTAGATCTATTTACCAGGGAGCATCTGCCTGTATTATACATTATTTTTCCTCACTGTCCCCCGTCCTTTCTTTCCGTATTCTCTCTTGCAGTGGTACTCTATGGCACCATGAAGTGGGATGTAGAAATCTGTGTGAATCGTTACTAATCTTGTTTTGTTCTGCTTTTTGCAGTATACTGCTGAATATGTCAAGGACAACCTCTTCCTTAACACTGTTGAGAAAATTAAACAACTTCGAAGTCAAATATCAAATAGTCCTGAAGGAAAACCCAAGAATGGTAATAACAATATTGCACGGAACAACAGCAAGAACAGTGGTGGAGGAGGGGAAGGAGTGAGTGGAAATGGTAAGAAGGCACAAAAGCACGGATCGTGTAGCTCAGATAAAACTCAAAACAATGGAGAAAATAAAGAAAAACAAAATGATGAGAAAGTTGCAAACATCTGTGGGAAAGACTTGCCGAGCAGTAGCAGCTCCAACATGAATAGTGAATCCGATTCTCACCTGGAAAATTCAGGCAAGGGAAAAGATGTCTTAGATGATAGCACAGGGGAGTCATGTGTGAGTGAAAATTCTAAATTCAGCAAGAAAGATTCTTCAGATATTTCACAGAAAGGAAGTGGCATTGAAAACATTGCTCAGTGTAGCATGCACAGCTTATCTGATGCTGATGTACCAATGAAGAAAGATGATACCTATAGTAATATAAATCTTATGAAGCGCAACTCGGTCACTACCAGTGGGGGTACAAATATTAGCAAAGAGAAGAATGAAGACACCACTACCTTTGATTCAGGGTATATCGACTCGTATAAAAACATCAACTACACACGCCTACTTACTGACCAGATAATTGCTGTTGATAAACAGGTGGTAGAAAAGTGCAAAGGAAGAACAGATATGTCAGGTGAGTAAGAATGTTTATACTATACTGTAGTTACCTGAAGTATTAGAACTTCAGATTTGTTTCTTTAATTCAAATTCCATTTTAATAAAGCATTAATGCTTGTTTTGTTTAATTATACAAATTAAACATTAATATTTTACTCCTAAGAGCCTATGATATCATTTACAGCTTTAGAGTTATACTAATGCTGGCTGTTTATTATTTGCATAAAATAACTCATAAACCAGATGAAGAAAACCAGCATTGAATGTAATGAAACACCAATTTCTGGGTGATCCCCATTGCCTCCCTGAAGCTATCATACTAGGTGTCATCAGTTGCGGAGTTCTGTTGGCCTACCACAAACCAGAAACTAGCCTCCTCAGAGGTGCAGGGAGCAATGTCCTATGAACACTTTAAATGCAAGGTTCTTTGCCATCATCGAAGGGAAGGTACCCAGAAAGATAGGCAAATCAAAATGGATTACTGCATGGTTAAAATGAAACCAAAGCCCCAAAATTGCAAAAGGAACTCTCCCACAGTGAAAACAAACAACCAAAATTTTGTAAAACTTGTCCCCATCTTGCCTGGGAGGAGGAGGGAGCTGTCCCGGGTCATCCGGGCCCAACCTTCCCAGTTCTATACTGATGTTTGTGCCTGGTAGTCACTGTTGCTCTGACTCCGGTCTCTGGTTTTCGAGTGGTTTTGCCTTTGAGGCTGTTCTCATACATGGGTGTGTGTGAGCCAGAAGTTTAGTGTACTGGAGCTGCATGTGCTCAGGTTTTGTTTTCTGTGCACTCTGTAGGTACTGTACGACTCTTGAGCAGTCAGGGTTGCCTTTCCTGGGGCACTTGGGGAAACATTCCCATCAGGGCGCTTTCTCACTTCGGGGGGTCCTTGCCCTTCAGGTAGAAAGTCCTTCAGAAAGGCCCTTCAGAAAGTAGACAGTCACAGACTGTCCTATCTTTCCTCAGGTTTGGGAGTGTTTTTTAGCTGGTGGGATGCACTGCAGTTTGTGCGATTAGTTATTTAGTTAACACAAGGCACATCAAAATTTCTACCTTGCTGCTCATTCGCCGTGGTTTTGATTTGGGAGGAGGGGGGGGGGAAGGCCATTCTTTGCTTTCATTGGCTTTTGCCTGTTTTTGCTTGGGGGTTCTGCCTCTCGCTTTATTAGACTTGCCTAGGGTGTGCACGGTTGAACGCCCTTGCTGTCCACTTTGCTTTTCCTTTGGCTTCAGGTGGCTTGGTTGCCTGGAAACAACCAGAACTCTTTGCTCAGTAGGCATATTTCACTGTGCAACATGATAATTTTAGCTTGTCATATTATAATCAACTACCAGGCATTCCTGTCTGTAGTGTGTTACCACATCTGGCTCATTTCTTATGTCCCAAGCTTGAAACCTCATTTTCAAAGATAGTTGTGCCCATATCCAGATGAACTAAAACCATACAAACTCAAAATGAAAACAAATCCTAAAATAAGTATTGTTTTATATAAAGTATATTCAATGGCTTTCCCAAGGCACAAACTATTTCTCCTAATCAAATTATCTTCTCCCAAAGTAACATTGTGTTTATATACAAAAATGAAAACCACATGATCGAGATCATATTAATCTTCAAAAATTTTTCACACAATGTGAAATAGCCCCACGTACCGATGCTTTTCATTATACAAACGTTATATTTTGTTTTATAAATATTTATAGAAGTTTAGATCTTACAATTGCACATAACATATTTTATGTGCAAATAAATACCCTGTACCTTGATTTCATTGATTTGCTATTTTTAAAAGTTCTGGAGTGTGATAGGCAGTGAAACAGTTAAGTTCAACATGTTACTCTTATTGCACCATGTCATCAGCAATATGCATTTCTGATGTCTACACTATTTGTCCTGTAAATAAAGCATTGCCTTTTGTAACCTGTATCAACTGTAACAGGTAATGGGTAGTCAGTATAGAACAGAGAGAGAGAATAATCACACTGTGATTGACTGCATCAATGAGAAAATTCATAGGAGCCGTGATGAGGGTTCAAACCTATGCTGTGGGTATTCCCATGCACACGCTCTAGCAACTAGACCACGACATGGTAGAGTTCTAGCTCTAGTCGCTAGAGCATGTGGGTGGGAACACCTACTGCATAGGTTTGAACTCACATCACGACTCCTACGGATTTAGTCAATGAAGTGTTACAGACAGTACTGTACTCCTTGCCAAAGACTGCCTGGTAGATATAATGTGCCATGCATGGTACTAGCTGGTGTACTTGTTTGTGCTGGGCCTTGCTTGCACCTCTAATACTTACTCATCAAAGTAATACAAGTGCACTGCTAAAGTTTAGTTTATGCAATGTATTCCCCCTCCCGTTCCAGCCCGTTGCCGTCATGAGGGGGCTTGGTGGGCGGCCGCCGGGGCGTGATGTTCCATGGGACAGCATGTCCTCTGTCATTTTGAAGCCTTATGTTCCTGCTGGTTGCTTTTTCCTCTTCCACCTGTTTCATTTTCCTCCCCAACTCTTCTCCTTTCTGATTGTTCCCTTCCTGCTGACTTTTAGCCATTCTTGAATATTCTTACTGATGTCTTCTATTTTGATGCCGGGTGTTAGGGGATTCACTCTCTCTCACCCGTAGAACTGTGGTATCCGATGTTGTTGAGCAAGGGAACGCTTTTATTGTCATAATTTGCCTTCGTTGCTGAGCCTGATCTTGACAGACTGATGGTTCTTAAGGTGGCAATTGCAGGGTGTGTATCCACGATGCACTCCTGGGGGGATTCTGATCTTGTTGGGTGTTCTATTCTCTAATTGCGGCTCCATGGTGAGTATGAGGGCTTATCCGTGGATGGAATCTTTACATGTTCGTTTCTATGCCATTCTTTGACCCTCATTTAATTTATCAGACTCGTGGGGTGGGCGACAAGATTCTCGAGTTGGACAGTGAGGAAGACTGGGCTCTGTAGCCCCCGTTACATTGGGCCCTGACCATGCTACTTCTCTGACTCTCCTGACTAACACTCTCTGCTCCCCTCCCACCTCTGTTGCAGGGTTGAGCCCCAAGCCCCCAATAGTGACCATCTCATCACCTGGCATGGCTCCGTCTCTCGTTATAACAAGTGCACCTTTTTCCTGTTCTCTTACTTGGGGTGCTCTGTGCCGTCACCTCTGCACTCACATGCGCATGATTCCTTCCTGATCTAATATATTCCAGGATTTGTTTGATCCTGCTATGTGGACTAACTATTTTGATCTCGGTCATGTTGATCCTACTCGTCCTGATGATTTCTTCCTCCATAAACACCCCATTGATTTGGTGGATCCCTTTCACTTTTAACCCCACCCATACTGGTACACGTGTTGTTGCAGCCCCCTTCCCAGGAAGTGGCTGACTGCTTGACTTCATTGTCCTGCATTGGAGAGAGACCTGTTCAGATCTCCAAAAAGGCCTGGTTAAGTGCCAGATGCTGGCACAGTTCTTCTTCCGTACTATGTTGTGACGAGTGATAGTGAACAGAAAAACTGCCATGAGGATATTAAATATATCCTTGAGGCCCAAGGCCATTCTATCCTCCAGGTAGATACGTTCACTCGACCCCCTTGCGGTCGTCATCAGTCTCTTCGCGTTGTGAAGGTCACTTTTGATAGTAGGTCCTTTCCATCTTCAGTCATTCTTGTTGGCATTAGATGCTCCATTCAGGAGTACATCTGCTCTCCTTGCTTCTACAACAGGTGCTGGAGATTTGGACTTGGTTCCTTCAGGTGCACAAGTGAGGTGTGTGTGTACCCCTTGTGTGGTTTAGCAGTAAATAGGTACCCGGGAGTTACATCTGCTATGGGCTGCTTCCTGGGGGTGTGTAATAAAAAGGAGGCCTGGTCAAAGACCGGGCAGTGGGGACGCTAAGCCCCGAATTCATCTCGAGATAGCTCACAGCATCAATTGAAGTGATTCCCACCATGAATTCTCTTGCGCATGTATGCACTACAAATTTAAAGAAGCTATTCTCAATTTGAAACATGCAATCGTTTTTCTTTTCCTGAAGCGATGCCAGATTCGCCACCCTTCTTCTTTCTTTGGCATGTCTGGCATGGTATACAGTCTGTTCCATTTATCTTCCCCCAAATGTCCCACTTTCTCTTCATGATCTTAAACACCTGTTGGACTCCATACCAGAACCTGTGCTCCTTTTGGGTGATTTTTAACTGTTGGCATTCCCTCTAGGAATATGTTTTGACAAGCATCTGTGGCCACCTTATCGAACCATTTGTCCTTTCTTTTTTCTTCTCCATTCTGGTGACCTCACTCATGTTGACTCATGCACTTTCACCATTTCCTGTCTTGATCTTTCTCTCTGCTCATCTAATCTTTCTTTAGACTTCACATGGCGGGTTCTTGATGACTCCACAACGATTACCATTTCCCCCATCCTTGTCACCTTCTCTTTTCACTCTCCCCTCTCCTTCCTTAGGTGGCAGTTTGCCAAGGCTGTCTGGAACATCTTCATCTTGCACACTACTCTTTCCGACCTCTCTGATCTGCCTCTCCCTCGAGCCCTCCTCTTTTTTCCATGACACCATTTTCGACGCTGCCCTTTGCTCTGTTCCTCGCTCTACCTCCAGGGAGAGCAGAAATGCGTTCCCTGGTGGAATGCAGACTGCTCGGGCTGTCTGCTGTTAGCATGCAGCCTGAAAGAAACACTGACACCGACAGACGCCCGATTCCTTTTTGTTTCAGAAGGGGTATGCGGTGGCCCGTACGGCCAAGCATGAGTGTTTGAAATCTTGTGTCTCCATGATTACCACTGACACTCCTCTGCCCCTGATCTGGAAGAAAATCCATAAGATAGTGGGTAATTTTGTTCCAGATATCTTGCCAGTTCTTCATATCCATGATTATGTTGTGGCGGATCCGCTGTCGGTTGCGACCGAACTGGGTTCACACTTTTCGACTGTTAGCTCCGATTCTCATCTACCTTCTTCTTTTCTTATTTGTAAGCCCCTTCTTGAATCTTGTACATTAGATTTTTGCACTTATCTTCAGCTTCTCTATAACGATTCTTTCTTTCTCTCAGAACTCCAGTCTGCCCTGGCCCTCTGCAGTTCTACAGTGGCGGGCTAGAATGATATTCATTATGAGATGCTTTGCCAACTCCCTCCTTGCTCATTTCAGTATTTACTGAATATTTATAACTGTGTCTGGGAGTTGTCATCAGTCTCTGAGGACTGGCTTGAGGAAGTTTTTCTTTCTATTCAGGGACCTGGTTCTCAAGGGTCATCCCTAAAGGCTTCGGCCCCGTTGCTCTAACACGCTCCTTAAATGAGCGTGCGGATGCTGTCTTTAAGGAGGCTATCCACACTTGTTCCATTTCCTGCAAAGGTGTTCCTTATTTCAACTTCTACACCAGTTATTCATTCCTCAATCCGTGCCCATTGGCAGGATCGCTGGTCTTCTGTTACTGGTAACAAACTATGTGCTTTTTAATGGTAGCATGTCCCCTTGGCCTTCCAACTACCACCATAACAGGTAGGAAATGGTTCTGGCGAGGTTACGAATTGGCCATACACGTTTAACTTGCAGGCACTTAATGGAGTGCCACCCCTGCTTCTTATTGTCCAAACTGCATTGTCCTTGTTATTGTTCAAATTGTTCATATTCTTGTTGAATGCCCTGACTTCCAGGATGTGCATGCGTCCTGCTTCCTGTCTGTTCCTCGCGGTCAGCTGTCCCTAGATAGAATCATTGGTGAATTGGATACCTTTGATAGCATTCCCCTTGTGCACTTTTGTTCTTGTCTTGATATCCTTAGTGATATTTAGTGCCTTTTGAATATCCTGCACATTTGATGGTGCTACATAGCCTCCCTGGCCTGGTGCCTTTTCATAATTATTTACGCAATACGGTATGGATTAGTTCTATTGAATTACAATTAACAAAGAAAGTGATTGTAGGCCTTTATACAATAAACAATGTAATACGTTCTCCTATTTTGCACATAAATCTGTTTGTAGCACAGCTCCAAGAAAGTACCTTGCATCTCACTCCTCTGTATTATTCTATCCAGGAACATCTTTCAAAAGTAATCCCAGTTTACTGATACATAATCTCATTGCATAATAAGCCATTAGAAACAATAGCAGAATTTTTTTCATGGGGTCTAGGTTAGCTAATGCATCCATATAGATGTATTATAAGTATAATTTGTAAAAAAAAAAACTGGGATAATAAATATAACAAACATACTGTGTCATTATCCCATTAACCACATTATTCCAGATCAACATGTAATTCTAACAGCTTTTTAAAGGTTAAAGGTATTAGAGTATTGTTCTGTTTGTACAGTACAATATTTGTGTGATTTGAACAAAAGTAACTTGTGTGATGGAATACAGGTTACTCTTTCCTTTGAAAACAAATGTGAATATAATGTACTTTTAACTTCTCAGGAACTACGGCTGTGATTGCAGTCCTAGATGGAGAACTGCTAATCATCGGCAATGTAGGAGACTCTCGAGCAGTCATGGGCGACCTCAAAGGATCAACTATTCCACTTTCATTTGATCATAAACCAAATCAGGTAAATTATAAAGCACTACACTGTACACCAGTTGTGTTTGGAGGTGTAGAGATGTATAGCTGATGCTTATACTGAGCACACTTCATATGAGATAAACATATAGTACTGTATTTAGAAGTAAGCGCACTACTGAAGCATACCTAGAGAGGGTTTCGGGTGTTCTTCTGCTTCCCGAGCCTAGTCTAGGGTCACGCTCGACTACTGTAATGATATCAAGATTACTGTACATGATAATATACTTATTCTTAAAATATTGTATATACAAGAATTATATAGGAATCTGGAAAAATCCCTCATGTATATAGTAACATTTTTATGAATTTGTTATACCATTTAAATAACATACTTGAAAAGCTAAAGTTTATATGAGATAGACCTAAGAGGGTGAGAAGAGCAAATAAATTTAAAGAAAATGTTTCCCAATGTAAAGTCAGGTTGTAAAGATACTAAACAGGGAACATTTTAGGTCGGTATTTTAAGTCTAGATATACCATACTGTGCTACCTAGTGACATTTTTACCAAAACCTGCATAAAAATTTGTATAGTTGACAGTTATCAAAGACCCCCCAGTCAACCCAGTTAGTTAAATGCAAGACCTTGCATGTGGGGCATAACAATCCATGTCACAACTACCAAATTAATAGCACAACCGTACAACATATTGATGAAGAAAAGGACCCTGGAGTCGGAATCAATCGATCCTTGAAAGTTGCACAACAAGTGGGAGCAGCAGTAAAAAAAAAAAAAAAAAAAAAAAAAACTTATCAATCCCTAGGAATATTGAAGCGTACCTTTATCTTTTATGGACAGGTAGGTAGTCATTCAGTTGTACAAGTCCCTGGTGCATCCCCACCGGGATTATTGCATCCAGGCATGGAGACCTCATCTTCTGAAATACATAGCTGCTCTGGAGAAAGTGCAACGCCTGGCAACAAAAATCATTCCAGAGCTAAATCATCTCTTGAATCGGGAACGGTTGAGGGCCACAGGGCTAACAATACTGCAAACCAGGCATGACGGTGGATCTCATTGAGATGAGTGTTCTATCCTCTAATTGTGACTACTTGGTGGGTATGGTGGCCTATTTGTGGATAAACTTTGTTTGTTCGTTTTTATGGCTTTTTTTCCTGACCCTCCTTTACCTTCTCAGACTTGTGGGGTAAGCGACCAGGCCCCCGAGTCGGACTGTGCTGGAAACCTGGCTCTGTAGCCCCGGCTACATTCGGCCCTAACCTTGTTCCTTCTCGGACTCTCCCAACTGGCTCTCTGCTCCCCTCCCACTTTTGTGGCAGGGTTGAGTCCCAAGCCCCCAGTGGTGACGACCTTATCACCTGGCATGGCTCCGTCTCTAGTTGTCACATATGTGCCTTTTACCCCCTCTTACTGGGGGTGCTCGGCGTTGTCACCTCTGCACTCGCACTAGATTCCTTCCCAATCTCCTTTCCAGGCTTTGTGTGGTCCTGCTACATGGTCTAAGTATTTTGATCTTAATCATGCTGACTATTCATCCTGATGATTTATTTCTCCATGTTGATTCGGTGGATAAGTTGGTCACTTTTAACCTCACCCATACTGGTACCCGTATTGTTGCAGCACCTTCTTGGGAAGCGGCTGTTTGTTTGACTTCATTGTCCAGAATTGGGGAGACCCCTGTTCGGAAAAAATGCCCGGTTGAATGCCAGTACTGTATTGGCACAATTCTTCTCCCGCACCATGTTGTGACTGGTGACATGGAACTTAGACTGTCACGAGGATATTAGGTATATCCTAGAGGCCCAAGGCCATTCTATCCTCCAGGTGGATACCTTCATTCGACCCCCTCGTGGTCGTCGCTTTCAGCCTCTTCACGTTGTGAAGGTCACGATTGACAGTAGGTCCCTTCCCTCTTCAGTACAGTAATTCTTGTTGGTGCCAAATGCTCTGTTCAGGAATACATCCCCCTCTCCTCACCTCTGCAGCATGTGCTGGAGATTTGGGCATGGTCCCTCTAGGTGCACAAGTGAGGTGTCTCTCTGCCCCATGTGTGGAACCTCGGGTTATTCTAAGACGGAGTGGAGTGCCCGTCTTCCCAAACTCTATGCATCAATTGCAGTGGCGTCCACCCTGCCTTTTCCCCTCGCATGTGTGCATTACAAATTTGAGGAAGCCCTCCTCAATTTGAAGCATTGTGTTCATTTGCCTTTTCCTGAGGCTAGGCACCAGGTTCGCTGTCTTCCCTCTTTCTCTGGCATGTCTTATGCTCGTGTGTTGCATTCCCCTTCTTCTCGCCCTCTCCCGCTTTTTCGGTTTTGCAACCGTTTTGAGGCCTTGGAACCAGACACCTGCACCACCACCTCGTCTGCTCCTTTGCATTCTGGGCCAGAGGATCCTCCTCCTGGTCTTCCTGGTCTCCTGTGCTCTCCTTCCCTTCTTGTCCCACTCCTCAGCCCCTCTCCTTTGTCTCTTGACCCTCCTTACCGCCTATCTGTTCAGGCCATTGTCCATCCTCTTCCCTGCGTTCGTCATGTTGACCGTTCCCATTCTCTTTTCAACCAGGCTGATCTGAGGTGTATAACAGTGTGCTTGTTTTATTAACTACAGTACCTCTCTCATTTTCAACAGTTAAAAGAACGACGTAGGATTAAGGAAGCAGGTGGTTTCATCACATTCACGGGAGTGTGGAGAGTTGCAGGAATTCTTGCTACCTCGCGGGCACTTGGGGACTTCCCTCTCAAAGAACCCCGAAAACTAATCACTGCCGAGCCTGATGTTCTGACATTCAGTCTTCGGGACCACAAGGTGAGCTGAGGTGTAACATTACCAATATTGATAACCAAGCTGGTATGAACCATTTCGTTATTCTGTCTGCATTACTTCCAAATTTTATTACATGTTGATTTAAATTTAAGCTAAAGCCTCTACATTCAACCTTAGATTCACTTGTCCGTTTAAGTTTCATCTGTACTTTAAGATTGTATTTACATATTAAGTATTTGCTGTTAGATTCATTTTTATGAGTACTGTAAGGTTGCCAGTATTCTTCTGCATAAGGCTTTTTGTATTCTTGGTAGAATAAAAATACTTACATTAACTTTTGGACAAACTTAAGGCATGAAGGGATAAGGTCAGGGAAAAGTACGGTATAAGGAGTTATGTCGGTGATATAAAAGTGAGAGATGTTAGACTGTTACAATTTATATTTCTTGGGTATTATTTTTAGGAAGTGTTACTGTACCACTAAAATTTTTCTTCATTCTGTTCAGCTGTGTATAGTGTTTGTTTGATGGCTACAGATTCTATATATTGTCTATACACAAGCAGTGTTAATGTTATCGACATGGAAGGCATGATTATATTTGTAAATCATCGTATCTTAGTTTCGGCATGTTTCACCCGAATACTTTGTCACAAATATATTTATACTCCTGCTACGACGACAATTTTTGTTAGTTGTGCTTCTGATGGGAGTACTATATTAATCATAAGGATGTTTTGTGTACAATTTTCATATTGAGTATTACTTTATAAAATATTTCTTCCTTTTGCATTACTGAACTTTATACTCATTTTTATGCTGTAAATGATATATGCTGTAAATGATAACAAGAGTAATAAATGGAATGGATAAAAGAATATGGGTAAAATTATGCCATGTTTGACTAGCATTTTTGTAATATACATCTTCAAAACAAAATTCACATTCTGTATCCAGAAATTGTTCAGCTTCAAGAACTCTGAAATTTGTATACTACATTGTTCCATGTTTCTTAAAATAAACAAAAATTTTCTGTAATATATTTTATGAATTGTGGATTGATATACCTATACTTTTTTTATTTTCAGGCACATTTTGTGATATTGGCCACAGATGGACTTTGGGATGTGTTAACGAACGAGGAAGCAGTAGCATTTGTTCGTGATCATATTCATGAACCTGATTATGGGGCCAAGTCCCTAGCACTTCATGCTTACTATCGTGGGTCACAAGACAATATAACTGTAGCTATTCTCAATATTGACAAGTTGTCTCTGTAAATGTTACGTATGTGAAAATCTTTTTAAGGACTCGAGAGTTTGTCAATGCAAGGAATTCTTCTATTATCAAGTTTTAATAATCAGAATAACATTAAATTTATTAAAAAAATGTTTTGTGTTCATGATAATTCTTTAGCAGGTTTCAGGAAAATTACATACAGTAAATCATATGATTTTTTTGTTTTCAAATTGCTCTATTGGATTTGAAGAATATTTTATCAGGCTGTGAATAGATACTTATGTAAATTTGATCAAAGAAAATTCCTTATATAGGGAAATTCTGGTAACTTCAGTCTCTATACTACAGTACTTGATGTAAATTTATTTAAATGTGAACAAATTCAGATTCACTGGTCATACTCATGCACACTTAACCTTCACTGGCATTGTACATAAACACACTCATTTTACCTTTATAGCTCTGGTGGTACTGCGGAGACAAATTGAACATGTTCAGTCTGTAATGCTATGGTAAATGAAATGTTGATGCATTCTTGTTCATACAGTTAAGACCTTGCTGGGAACATGGATTGAGGATTATTGTTCTTAGTTACACTAGTCATAAAGCATATTTTGTTTTCTGCTTGAGAATGTGTGTGTGAGATAAAGTTATTGGGAACTATGTAAATAATGAATATTGATAAACTTGAACATACACAATAATTATATAGAATGTCTTTATTGGTCAGTCTTGTATGTGAAGAGTGGAAATTCAAGTTTTTATGAAGAGTAATATTCAAACTATTTCGGATAGTACCATTATGCGTTCTTTGTCTAAAAATCGTGGTACTGTATTGGCATAAAGTTTTATTTTGGTTCACACTATACACTTGGAATATGGTGTCCTAGCTTTGACCAGAAAGTTATTTTTATACTTTTCGTTTTATTTACTTTGGATATTTCATATCTATATATATATAGAAATAAAAAAAAAGAGAGAACGAAAATCTGTGCAAGTACCTCCTAACCAGCCATGGTAGAGTTCCGTCCTCTAGGCGTGTTTTCCGAGCAGCTGAGAGAAGCCTACAGTTCCGAGTAGTGTACCTGGTAAACTGTTTGTTTCTTAACATGTTTAGGCTTGGAGAAGCACCAAGACCCAGTGAACTTCTTTACAATGTATATTGTCAGTTAATATCACTAAAGTGATCTCATTACATCCCCTCATTAGTATCACTGTTGTCATTTATAAGAATGGACATTCAAGTTGAAATGTTTCATTCAAGTTTCAGTACTTTGACTTATCAAGAAGAGAGATTAACACACTTAAGTATGATCGAGATATGCAGTTCATTGATTATATTTTTCGCTTGAACTTCTGGAAGATCTTCCCTTAATTGTTAATACTGTTTCTCCTTATTATCTATGTTACTCCATGGTATGCCTTCTGTATACAATACATTTCGGTACTTTTCATGCATTTACTTTGATTTTCCAGATTTTGTTTTTTTATAAATATTCTGACTGGATAATATTTATGTCCAAGTTTTAGCAAGACTTGACACTTTTTAAATGCCGTTTGTTCTAAACTTTAACGTCATTGATTTGGTATGTTTTTATACTATATATGCCAAAATCAGGAGCTTTATTACATTCTGGATATTAAAGATATTTTTTTTTTTTTCAATAGTTTTTCTCTTGATCACTTGATTGCAAAAAATTTTTCTCAGTGATTCAGTTATACTTATTCAGTGAATAAACAAAATTGGTGTCCAAACTTGGTTACTCTGTGCAAACTTGTGGCACTTATTGATATGATATCTAAACTAGTCATATGCAAATTAGAATCAGTTAAAATGTGCAGTAAGCATTTTGATGACCAGTGTCTGGAGGAGTTTCCAAGCATACATGAACAGTACTTGGAAGATATCATGATTGCTACATTCACTAGGTCCTAGATGTGGCATGTCTGTCATGTGTCCTAGTGCATATACTTCTTGACAAGGGGAAACTGGCAAGTTTTCATTAATTTGATATGGTTTGTAAAACAAACAATGTATGTATACTGGTATGAGAACTACACGTGCCCACATCTTATGGGCAAAGTAGTGCTGTAGGAGAGAGTTCAAGTGTGGATTTTTTTTGTTATAATTTGTACAAAACTTTTTATGCAGAGGAATTGACTAAGATTGGCAGGAAAATTTATAACGGCAGTTGGGAAAAGCTGCTAACCATTCCAATCTGCATCTGTCTAATGTTTTGTCCATCAAGGTATTACAGAAACAAAATAAATGTTCAGTAAGCAGAAACCTGCATTTGATATACCAGTTATAGAACAGGCTTTTAAAAATTCTTGGCAGGCTTGAACTAGTATGTTTGCAATAAATACAGCATATGAGAGGAACCAAAAATAGAACTGGTTTGCATTACTGATAAATGAGGAAAGAGTAACTGAGAGCCTTGAAGGACTTTTTATTTTAAGTTACATTGAAGTCCTAAAGAAGCCTAACCCTTCTTGCCTATTAGGTACCATCTGTAATAGTGGGAGAAAATCAAACATGTTAAATGTTGGTGAAATTTACTTATTAGGGGACATGTTTATTATAGGATTTAACTGCCAATTATCATAATCATATCCACAATGCCTTAGTCCAGTGCTTGACTAATGTACTAATCAGTTTTTGGCTTTGCAAAATTTAGTAAAGCAGTATTATGTCGTGTAGTTCTGGAGACTGTCCAATAGATCCATCAAAGTGATGGCATATGTTTTATCTTCTCTTGTCTCTAGGTAATTGAAATGTATGAAATCCAAGATAAAAAAAAATTGCGTATTGAGTACAGTGTATATGAACTAAATGAGAGTCAACATCTAAGTTTGATGTCGTTGTTACAGTGTCAATACAGTATTCAGATTTTTCATCCTAGGATATGAACTGAGGAAGTAATAGTACTTGTTCCCTGCACCAGCAAGCTTACATTATTGTTTAGAGTATTTAATCTACATGTTTACAGCATTGATTTGTTATTTGACTGTTTGGTGATTAGCAAAACAATTGAAGTATTTCAACTGAATTCCTGAGAAGAAAATACAGTTTGACACACTTGTTGAATGAGTCCCATCAGATGTTGAATACTTCAACCATATTTGGGTGAAAGTCAGCCATCTACTTGTATTTTCCTCTTATGTTTAAATAATATAAACACACTGCTCATGGTATCTATAATTGTATATTGTAAACAATAGGTCATAATACTCTGGCTATTAGAAATAACAAACCTCACACATTAGAAATATGAAAATAAGCTTAATTTTGGTCCAGATCAAACTGTCAAGTCTGCTTTAAAATGGGGTGAAATGTTCTCATTTAATGTGTGGCTTTAGTGTTTGTCATGTTTATTTTTTTTTATAAAAACCGTTTTGATCAGTTAATAGCACCTCTCGAGAGCACTTTCTCGAGAAGAGAATGTGAGCAACACAAGCCAAGTGAAGAAGATCTTAAAGTTCTTGTGCATGGAGTTTCCAGGCAAGAGCACCACACTTATGTTTTGCCTTTGTCTGTTCATGTTCCATGTGTTACTACTACTGCTAGCACTGGCTAGCAAAGTAGAAAATTAAGTTAGTCGATTAAAAAATTGCAGTACTCGTGTGCACAATTTTCATAAGACTAAACATTTAACTACAGATAAAATTCCTGTGGTTCTAAATAAAATCTGTATAGGGCAAAAGGTGGACATGAAGTTGTGTACAGAACTCATTTTATTGCACAGAATGCAGTCGATGGTTCAGTATATTTAATGTCAATACCATACATGTGCTCGGTTACTGATGTGTTATCTGCTAATGTTGTACCTTCTGTCAAACATCAAATAATATGTTGGCTCTCACTTCCTTTCCTATACTCTATTGTGCATCATATAGCTACAAGTCATTGCTGCAATATGTACAATGACTGCAACTGTCATGGCATCATTCCTAGATGTAGATATTTTGTTCAGTTTTCAATGTTAATCACATGGAAATGGTTCTAATAGGGTATTTGATTTTGTATTTTTTTTTCACATGTTTCATGGAAAGTACTTGACCTGTATTAAATATATTATTGGGCATGTGTGTCTTATTTGTCCTGGTAAATTGAAATAAACTTATTGAATAATAAGTCGGTGTATATATCATGGGATAAGTATTTTTTCGTTGCCATTTCATTGATGATAATCCTGCACGAGTCATCCTCCTAGGGAGGTAACCTCTCTACAGGCATAAGCTCACGGGCCTGCTCAAGCAGGTGAAGTTCTTTGTGGTAGTAGACTGATCTGTGATGCCATTTTTTGATTTTCCTGTTTCCCCTTGAAAGTAACACAGAACTCAGTTTTTTCTTAGCAATATCATTGTAATGGGGATCTCTGGCTATCCTAATTGCAAGCTTAGCATTCAGTTCCTTAATTCTGCATTTAACACTGGGGAGGGACAACTCCTCTCGTAGATTAGACGTTTTGCCAGTTCTTGGAACTCCAAGAAGGATTGTCATGGCTTCATTCTGAATGCTTTCAAGCCTTTTCATATCGCTTTGGGAGTAGGTGCACAAAACTGGTGCGGCATAGTCTGTGACGGAGCGCACATAGGCTGTGTACATCATTGTAAGCACGGCAATAGAGGCTCCATATCCATTCCAGGTCATAGCTTTCAGTGCCCTGAGTCGACTTTTGCATGTTCCTATGAGTTGATTGAGCTCTTTCTTCCCCTTGTTAGAGCCAATAGTGGTCAACCTATTCAAGTGTTACACCATTAATTTGCAGTTCTTCATTTGCTCCCCGCTTGTGATGGAAGTGTGCCTTTGTCTTGTTTGTGGAGAGAGTGAAACTGAGCTCAATACATTTTCTTCCAAGGAGTTCAATGGACTGTTTAATTTTTAATGTACTGGTGATAATGTGTACACTGGTGTTACTGTGTGTACTGGTGTTACTGCGTGCGCTGATGTGCTGGTGTCCTGGTTGTGTCTGCTAACTTACCTCGGCAGCATGTGTTGCATCATCTTGCACCCGGCTCTGGCTTGCAGGACCTCCACTTGATGGACTCTGCTGTTGCAGGATTTTGAGGATTTGTTCCTGAGCCGTCTTAATCTGGCAGAGGGCTTTCTCAAGTTCCGTTTGCTTTTGCAATATTTGGTGGACGACTGGGTGAGCTTGTATCATTTGGTCTAATATTGCTTTGAGACAAACTGGAGTGACGTCCTCCTAGGGGTCAGGAGTGCCTGGAGGGGGAAGGGGAGGCAGATGGGAGACAGTGGAGGGGTCTGATTCATTGGTATGGGTTTGGGGGGGGTTGGGTGGTGGTGTGACACCGTGGGTAGAGATTGATTTTAGTTTAGATTGATTGATTTAGTACTGATTTAATTAATTTAGTACTGATTTAGATTTTAGTTTAGAATGATTTTAGTGTACCCCATAGACATTCCAATGTAACATCGTTTTCTGTTGACGTTCCCACACTCCACTCTTCTTTTTCTTTTCAAAGATTTTCAAAGCATACACTATTGTATGTATTGTTGATTTGGAAAGCACCATTATTATATGTAATAACTTTATTTATTTATTTATTTATTTATTTATTTATATATATACAAGAAGGTACATTGGGATTGTGAGGATACATAGCATAGTGATTACATTCTTATAAAGCCACTAGTACGCGAAGCGTTTCGGGCAGGTCCTTAATCTAACAGAAAATGCTAAGGTCTTAACTACACTACGGGCTCACCATAGCCCGTGCTACTTGGAACTTTGTTCCAGGAAGCGAATCTTTAACAACAACATCTTAACTATAGTAATTCAGGTAGTGGATCCTGGTTTAACTAGCAAAAGTTATAAGATGATAACAGGTACATTGCAAGAAAAAAAATGAGATGGGAGAGATTTGTATGTATATTTAAAGCACATAGGTAGCTCAGATGGATTGCATTGACAGCTTGAATGATAATTTAACAAAGATTCCCAGTCTCCGTGGTGTAATGGTAAGACACTCGCCTGGCGTTCCGCGAGCGCTTTAATTGTCATGGGTTCGTATCCTGGCTGGGAGGATTTACTGGGCGCAAATCCTTAACTTTAGCCTCTGTTTAACGCAACAGTAAAATGTGTACTTGGTTGTAACGATTCTTCGCGGCGGGGATCGTATTCCAGGGACCTGCCCGAAACGCTACGCGTACTAGTGGCTGTACAAGAATGTAACAACTCTTGTATATATCTAAAAAAAAAATAATGGGCACAATACAGCATATTGCTAGCACATATAAGAAGACAGCAATGATCACAATGGTAAAGCTGGTTGGATAAGTACATAAAGATTGGGAGACTGGGTAACACTAGATATAGAGCAATTTTAAAGCACAGAGTAGGAAACTATGAATATGAAATTAGGTACTTAATCATAATAATTAAGTAGTAATAATAAACTTAATAAGTAATAATAAACTAATAGTGTTTATTATAATTATAAATCGCATACCCATCCTGTGGGCAGTAATGGACCCCATACCAATCCTGTGGGCGGTATTGGACCCAATACCCATTCTGTGGGCGGTATTGGACCCAATACCCATCCTGTGGGCGGAATTGGACCCTATACACATCCTGTAGTTGGTAGTGACCCCATAGCTATCCTGTAGGCAGTAGTGGACCCCATACCAATCCTGTGGGCAGCAGTGGACCCCATGCCCATCCTGTGGGCGGTATAGTGGACGCCACACACACATCCTGTGGGCGGAAATGGAACATATACCCATCCAGTGGGAAGTAGTGAACCCCATACTCACCCTGTAGATGATAGTGGTCACCAAACTCATCCTGTGTAAAATGTGATAAATTACCGTTTTCAATTGGCATTTTTTCCTTAAAAAGTCGTAATTTCAAACTCCAAATATGTGCAAACAGCCAGAATTCGGTTCAAAATTCAGGCTCAGGCATCAGAGTTGCAATATTTCCGATATTGTGAAAACTGCAAGGGGGGTTTGGGAAGGATGTGATAAATCGCCGTTTTTACTAATTGGCATTTTTTTCGGTTATAAAAAGTCATAATTTGAAACAAAAAATAGGTGCAGAGAGTTAGAATTCGGCTTAAAAATCACGCTCAGGAGTCAAATTTCCGACATTTCAGATATTTTGGAAACTGCAGAGGGTTTGGTCAAAATATAACCCATCGCCGTTTTCAGTAATTGGCATATTTTCTGTATTAAAAGTCGTAATTTGAAACAGAAAATAGGTGCTGTGCTAAGAGTCAGAATTCGGCTAAAAAATCACGCTCAAGAATCAAATTTCCGACATTTCAGATATTTTGGAAACTGCAGAGGGTTTGGTCAAAATATAACCCATCGCCGTTTTCAGTAATTGGCATATTTTCTGTATTAAAAGTCGTAATTTGAAACAGAAAATAGGTGCTGAGAGTCAGAATTCGGCTAAAAAATCACGCTCAAGAATCAAATTTCCGACATTTCATATATTTTGAAAATTGCAGGGGGGTTTGGGCTAAATATGACCCATCGCCGTTTTCAGTAATTGGCATATTTTCGGTATAAAAAGTCGTAATTTGAAACTGAAAATATGGGCAGAGAGTCAGATTTCGGCTCAAAAATGACGCTCAGGAGTAAAATTTCCGACATTTCAGATATTTTGAAAACCACAGGAGGGTTTAGACAAAATATGACAAATCGCCGTTTTCAGTAAATGGCATATTTTCTGTATAAAAAGTCGTAATTCGAAACTGAAAATAGGTGCAGAGAGTTAGAATTCGGCTCAAAAATCACTCTCAGGAGTCAAATTTCCGACATTTCAGATATTTTGAAAACTGCAGGGGGGTGTTTGGGCAAAATATGACCCATCGCCGTTTTCAGTAATTGGCATATTTTTTGGTATAAAAATTCGTAATTTGAAACTAAAAACAGGTGCAGAGTCAAAATTCGGCTCAAAAATCACTTTCAGGAGTCAAATTTCCGACATTTCATATATTTTGAAAACTGCAGGGGGGGGGTTTGGGCAAAACATAACCCATCGACGTTTTCAGTAATTGACATATTTTCGATATAAAAATTCGAAATTTAAAACAGAAAAAGGTGCAGAGAGTCCGAATTCGACTCAAAAATCGTGCTCAGGAGTCAAATTTTCGACATTTCAGATATTTTGAAAACTGCAGGGGGGTTTGGGCAAAATATGACACATCGCTGTTTTCAGTAATTGGCATATTTTCGGTATATAAAGTCGTAATTTCATACTGAAAATAGGTGCAGGGAGTCAGAATTCAGTTCAAAAATCACCCTCATGAGTCAAATTTCCGACATTTCAGAAATTTTGAAAACTGCAGGGGGGTTTGGGCAAAATATGACCCATCGCCGTTTTCAGTAATTGGCATATTTTCGGTATAAAAAGTCGTAATTTGAAACTGAAAATAGGTGCAGAGAGTCAGTATTCGGCTAAATAGTCACGCTCAGGAGTCAAATTTCCGATATTTCAGATATTTTGAAAACTGCAGGGGGGTTTGGGCAAAATATGACCCATCGCCGTTTTCAGTAATTGTCATATTTTCGGTATAAAAATTCGTAATTTGAAACTGAAAATAGGTGCAGAGAGTCATAATTCGGCTCAAAAATCATGCTCAGGGGTCAAATTTTCGACATTTCAGATATTTTGAAAACTGCAGGGGGGGTTTGGGCAAAATATGACCCATCGCTGTTTTCAGTAATTGGGATATTTTTGGTATAAAAATTCGTAATTTGAAACTGAAAATAGGCGCAAAGAGTCAGAATTCGGCTCGAAAATCAAGCTCAGGAGTCAAATTACCGACATTTCAAATATTTTGAAAACTGCAGGGGGGTTTGGGCAAAATATGACCCATCGCCGTTTTCATTTTTTTTTTTCAGTAATTGGCATACTTTCGGTATAAAAATTCGTAATTTGAAAATGAAAATAGGTGCAAAGAGTCAGAATTCGGCTAAAAAATCACGCTCAGGAGTCAAATTTCCGACATTTCAGATATTTTGAAAACTGCAGGGGGGTTTGGGCAAAATATGATCCATCGCCGTTTTTAGTAATTGGCATAATTTCGGTATAAAAATTCATAAT